AAAGAATAAAGACGAGAAGCAGCCCCTCCCCGAAAAAAAACAACCTCAGAAAACCTCAGATTTAGAAAAAAATTAAACTAAAACCTGGTTCTCCTCCAAGGTCAAGTCGCGCCCTTGGCTTTGACTTTCTTCTTCCATGCGCTCTTCGAATTCCTGCCGGGCTTTTTCCACCGAGACCATTTCTTTTTCGAGCTCGTCCATGTCGCCTTTGCGTTTCTTGTACTGCTTCTGGGCGTTCTGGAGGGATTTCTTGGCCGCTTCCAACTTCTTGATCTTGTGCGACGTGTTCTCCTTCGCCTTGATGTACTGAGGCCGCTTCTGGTTGAGCTCCGAATCCTTCTCCCTGCAAAGAAAAAAAAACACCCGGCGAGGTGAGCTCTGTTTCAAAAAAATTCTCCAAATCTTTGGGAGCTCCTCGACGTTGGGGTTTTTTTCCGGCGCTCACTTGATTTCTTTCTCGATCTGCTGCTGCTCCCGCATCATCTTGCCCAGCTCTTTCTTGCGGTCCTTCAGCTCGTCCTCGACGCGATCCATCCGCTTCTTGTCCTTGTCGATCTCGCGGTTCTTCAAGCCCAGCTCTTTGTTGAGCTTCTCGATCTCGGCCTCGTTGTGGTAGAGCTTGAAGAGCTGGAGCTGGACTTGGGCGCGAACCACCTCGTCCTTCAGGCGTTGGTAACGGTCGGCCTGCGCGGGGAGGGGAAAAAAAAAACAACAAAAAGAGCGTTAAGGGGCGCGGCGGCGACGCGAGAATCGCCGGATCCTTCCGGTTGGGAAAGGCCCCGTGGGGTCGGAGTCCAACCACGAAGCCGGCGCTGAAAATCTTGCCCCAATTCTACAACTGATTGGGCGATGCTTCGGTTGATTCGATGCTTCGGTTGATTCGATGCTTCGATTCTTCCATTGATCCTATTCTACGATTCTCTGATTCGTTCTTTAATTCATTCTCCGACTGATTCTCTGACTGATTCTCTGATCAATTCTCCGATTCTATGATTCGTTCCCCAACTGATTCTCTGACTGATTCTCCGATTCTTCAATTGATTCTCCGAGTGATTCTACGATTGATTCTCCGAGCAATCGATTCTCCAAGCGATTCTCTGATTCTACGATTGATTCTCCGACTGATTCTACGATTGATTCTCTGATTCTACGATTGATTCTCCCACTGATTCTACGATTGATTCTGATTCTCCGAGTGATTCTGATTCTCAGAGTGATTCTGATTCTCCGAGTGATTCTGATTCTCCGAGTGATTCTGATTCTCCGAGTGATTCTGATTCTCCGAGTGATTCTGATTCTCCGAGTGATTCTGATTCTCCGAGTGATTCTGATTCTCCGAGTGATTCTGATTCTCCGAGTGATTCTGATTCTCCGAGTGATTCTGATTCTCCGAGTGATTCTGATTCTCCGAGTGATTCTGATTCTCCGAGTGATTCTGATTCTCCGAGTGATTCTGATTCTCCGAGTGATTCTGATTCTCCGAGTGATTCTGATTCTCCGAGTGATTCTGATTCTCCGAGTGATTCTCTGATTCTACGATTGATTCTCCCACTGATTCTACCATTGATTCTCCAATTGATTCTCTGACGGATTCTACGATTGATTCTCCGACGGATTCTACGATTGATTCTGATTCTCCAAGCGATTCCACGAGCAATTCTCCGAGCGATTCTCACCCCGTCAAGCCGACCTCTCCAAACCTCTTTCCCCTCGCGCAGACCAACCCTCCCTATCGAAACCACCGCCAAACCCCCAGCGGGAGGATTTTTCCCAAAAAAAATTCGGCGCGGAATCCTCGCCCCCTGCGAGAAAACGAACCTCTTCTTTCTCCTGCTTGGCTTCCTTGCGCTCGGCGGCGATGTTTTTCTTGCGGTGGTAGTTGAACTGCGTGTCCTCCTCGGCTTTCACCATCTCTTTCTTGCGCTTGTCGTACTCTTGGGCCAGCTCGCCCGAGCGGCTGATCTCCTCGAAGAGAGCCGTGCGCTCCTTGGGGTTCTTCATGGCGATGGATTCCACCGCGCCCTGAGCAAAAAAAAGGATAATTAAAAATAAATAAAT